AAAAGCGATCCACGAGTACCAACTGGTGGACACCTGGAGAATAATGCATATGAAAGACAGAGACTATACCTTCTTCTCCAATGTACATGAGATATACTCGAGACTGGACTATATCCTAATAGATCATCAACTTATAGAACCGTTGGTTAAAATAGAGATAGAGATGAGTACATTCTCAGATCATGCCCCTTTCATAATGAAAATGGGATGGGGGAAACGGTGGACGGGAGGCCTAGGATGGAGACTAAATGAGGCCCTTCTTTTGGATGAGGATATAGCTCAGAAGATTGGGGAAGAGATTAAGGTATATTTTAAAGAGAATGAGACAGGGGAAGTATCATCAGCTACAGTATGGGAAAGTCACAAGGTATATATAAGAGGAATCCTGATCGCGATGGGAGCAAGGAAAAAAAGAGAAAGAAGAGAGAGGGTCAGTGGGCTCCTAAAAGAAATCATGGATTTGGAGCAGATACAAAAGAAGAAAATAACAAGAGAAACAAAACAGAAGTTAATGGATAAAAAAGATGAGCTAGAGAGATTGATGGAAGAGAAGAGGAAAAGAGTATATAATAAGGTACTAAGTGAAAGATATAGATGGGGAGATAGACCAGGAAAATACTTAATGAGAGATTTGAATAAAAAGAAAAATAGAAATTATTATAGAAAAGATAAAAAATCCTAAGGGGGAGTTGGTTTATTCAACTAAAGAGATTATTAAAGTATTTACGGAGTAGTACTATAGAAAGTTGTATAATATTAGCCCCCAAAGCTCGTCAAAAGAAAATGGAGAGGATATCAAAGAAAAAAGGAAGACCTATTTAAAAAACGCAGGATTACCAAAGTTAAGTGAAATACAACTGAACTCCCTAGATGCGGAAATTTCCCAGGATGAAATAAAAGCAGCAATAAGAAGTACGGGGGGTGGAAAAAGTCCAGGACCGGATGGGTACACAGTTAATTACTATAAAAAATATAGTGAAATATTGTTACCTAAGCTAAAGAAGTATATGAACGATTTGGGAGGAGGGATGGAGAGTAGAAGAGAATCTCTTCAGGCCCATGTTGTACTCATTCATAAGGAAGGAAAAGACCCCTCTCAGTGCTCTAGTTATAGACCAATTTCATTATTGAACATCGATACTAAGCTGTACGCAAAGGTTCTAGCAAATAGGCTGAAAGATCTAATGCCAGAATGGATCCACGGAGATCAGGTGGGCTTTGTCCCAGGGAGAGAGGGTAGGGACAACGGGTTGAGAACTCTGATGCTAATCCAGAAAAGTAGAAAAAAGGGAAAGCCCCGGTGGTGCTGTTGTCGATTGATGCCGAAAAAGGCGTTCGATAGAGTGGATTGGGGCTTCATGATGGACAACTTAGAAGTGTTGGGGATTGGAGAGAGAATGCGTGAGTGGATAGGTAAATTATACAGGGAGCCCACCGCAATTATTACGGTAAATGGAGAGAGATCAGAATCCATAGGGATGTCCAATGGAACAAGACAGGGCTGTCCTCTGTCCCCCCCCTGCTATATGTTTTGTCATTGGAACCTTTGTTGTCAATGATAAGGAATAGTGGTGCGGTAAAGGGAATCCAGATCGAAAATATAGAACACAAAGTAGCGGCCTATGCAGATTACCTATTTTTCTATGTAGGTAACCCCCGAATAACATTACCAAATATAATGAAATTTTTGAAGGAGTATGGGGAACTATCAAACTTAAAAATTAATCCAACAAAAACAGAGATCCTGAACATCAAATATATTAAAGAGTGAAAAGGAAAAGTTACAAAAAGAATTCCCCTTTATATGGAGAGAAAAAGATTTAAAATACCTAGGGATAAAACTCGCTATCTCTTTTATAAACAACTGTATAGATTAAACTATATATTTCCTTAATAAATGAGACTAAGGAAGAATTGAAAAATATTAGGAGGAAACCCATCATGGATAGGACGTATAAACCTAGTTAAAATGGTAATTATACCTAAAATACTGTATAGATTCCAAATGGTTCCGATCAAACTCCCAGAGGCTTTTTTTAAGATAATAAAAAAAATGTTAACAAGATATATTTGGAGGAATAAAAAACCAAGAATATCATATGAAATACTGAGTAGAAAACTAAAGAAAAAAGGGGAATGGGACTACCTGACGTCAAGAGATATTATAAAGCAGTAATTTTAGCAAGAATTTATGATTGGACATTTAACCAGAAGGGGAAGAGTTGGGTAAAAATTGAAAATGCACTGAGTGGGATTAGTTTGAGTAAGATGATATGGATTCCAGCACATTTTAGAAAAATTAATGAAAACACAAGTAATTACACTTTTAATGTTTTAAGGGTATGGGATAATTTACACACAAAAATATGAAATGGGAATTCAACTCTATATTAATGCCTCTTGCAAATACTGATTATTTCCCCCCAGGAAAGGATGAGATATCAGGGAGATGGTTTGAGAGGGGAAGATGTCCAACTGAGAGATGTACTGGTAGAGGGGAAATTTGAGATAATTTAAAGAACTTAAAGAGAAGAAGGGAGACATTTTTATTAGAATAGATGAGTGGAAATATCACCAACTAAAATGTTTTATTGGGAAATTACCAAAACCTTTGAGATTAAATAAGGAGTGGAATATGTTTGAAAGGTTGTTAGAAACACGTAGAGATGGGAAACATGGTATTGCCAAAATTATAGAATACTCACAGAATTAGACACAGACACAAAGTTAATTTTTATAACGAAGTGGGAAAGAGATATGGAGGTGGTGTTAGATGAGGATCAACAGAAAAAGATATTTAGATTGACACACGAGAATGTTAGTATGAGAGAAGTGGAGGTTAATTATTTCCCCATTGGCAGCAAGCTGTTCCATGTACGACAGGTAACGCAGACAGATGTGTATCGAGCAGACGCCAAGGAGATACCTAGGATATTCCAGGCAAGTTAAACGTGTGTTTTCAGCATCTGCCATTGTAATAGTGATAAGTTTCACAGGAGAAAATGTATTCTAAAAATAGTACAAATTATTGAGTATTGAGCACAGGATGAGTGGGGAATTCAAAAATGTATTGGAGAGGATGTGGAGAGATAGGCACGGTGTTTCACATGTGGTTGGCAATGTCCGAAAATTTCAGGCTTTTTGGAAAACAATAGTTAAATTGATAGAAATAATAACTGGAAATGACATAGGGTTAGACCCAATGATGTGTCTTCTACATAACGTTGAGATAACAGTAAATAAATATAAAGAATCAGGCGTATGGTATTATTTAAATGCTGCAAAGGGTTGATACCCAAGTTCTGGCAGAAAACAGAGGTGCCGAAGGAGGAAGACTGGATCAATAGAGTAAATCAGATCAGTAGAATGGAAAAATATTACTATATGCAGGAAGATAGGCTGGGAACATACTATTCGAGATGGGAAAAATGGGAAAAATCAGAGGTGAAAGAGAAATATAGAAAATCTTAAATTAGGAAGCTATTTAAAGTGATTGGGCCTCGTGAGACTGGAGAACTTGCAGAGGGGAGGGGCGGGAGAGGGGGGGGGAGGGGAGGGAAAGAAAAGAGTTATTAGAAGGGGTAAAATAGAAATGTTAAGACTACTTAAATGTATTGTGTTTCTTTTTATGAAATTTTTTGTAATAACATGAAAAACCAATAAATATTTAATTTGAGAAAAAAAAATAACAATCATAAATCTTCCATTCATGGAGTCTTGTCAGTTTCTTGATCTGTTGACGATCAACTTTTTGTGCATCAGCAACCACAACCTCCCAGGCACTCAGTACTTCAATGCATGTGATTGAGCATTGTCCTGCCTAATTATCATGATCTTCTTGAAAGATGCAGACTTTTTCCTGTACCACTGCTTGAAGAAGTGTCTTCTAAAAACTGGTAGTAGGTATGGGAGTTGATTTTGAGTCCAACTTCAACCCGAAAAGCTCCAACTAGCTCATATATAACCACTTTCCCTCCAGAGGATTTACCCCCCTTCTTGACCAGGCCATTTTTTGCAATACAGCGCTGCATTAATTTAACTGACAATTGCGCAGTCATGCAGCACTGTACATAAATGAAATTTATGTTTTTTTTCCCCCATAAATAGAGCTTTCTTTTGGTGGTATTTGATCACTTCTGCGGTTTTATTTTTTTCCCTATAAACAAAAAAAGTAAAAAAAAAACACATTTTTTACTTTTTGCTATAAAAAATATCCAATAAAAAATGTAATATACATAAATTTAGGCCAAAAATGTATTCTGCTACATGTCTTCGCTAAATAAAATCCCAATACACGTAAAATTAATTTGTTTACGTGAAAGTTATCTGAAAGTCAAAGTGTCTACAAATGGCGGTATATATACTGGAATTTTTATTTTTTTTATACTAGTAATGGCGGCGATCAACGACTTATAATGGGGACTGCAGTGGGCATTCTGACATTGGGCAGAAACTGACTAACTGCCATTGACATCTCCAGTGACAGTAATACAGTCATCAGTGCTAATAAAAAGCACTGTCACTGTACTAATGACACTGGGCAGAAAGGGGTTAACATCTGGGGCGATCAAAGGGTTAACTGTGTGCTGTGTGTGTTTTACATTATGTACTGTGTGTGTGTTTTACTATGGAGACATGCTGCTTTGTGTTTCTCTGCTGTGCAGCATTGTCAGGGATGCGGGTGTGACCAGAAGTGTGTGGCCTGACACAGGGAAATGCAAGCTTCAGATATGGTATAAATAAGACAATTTATTAAAGACTAACAATACAAACATAAACGCAGTACACCAAACCCCAAGCTAACACAAAATACATACAACAAGGTGAAACAAACCCAAACCTAAACTGATACAGATACACAGGTACATACACATATAGAGCACAACGTAGTCAGGCAGGCTGGGTCGATAACTATCGGGCAGGTAGGTACAGGAGGAGCAGGTGGAGAGAATGGTCAGGGTCACAAACCAGGAATCAAAACAGGAGAAGTCAGCAGAGGTCAGGATCAGGCAGGGTCGGCAACAAGTCAGGCAGAAACAGGAACAGGAACGCAGGTTACAAGATACAGGGGCCCATGGAAAAAACACACCACCAGGCACAGACTGCAGGTCTGGCCATCCCTTAAATACACCTGCAATCAGCCCCAGGTGATGGCTAATTGCCGAAGTGAACCTCTGGTTGTTGAGAGCACCCGCGGGCCAGCCATGGTACTGCAGCCCACAAGGCAGGTGAGTCCCACCACCTGTGGTGAATCCATTCCTGAGCTTGTTGTGGAAGGTGGTGTGCAGGCTGTGCTCTGAGCTTCCAGAGGCCTTTGTTGGAACCGGGGAATCTGGATTCCTCTCCCTGCCCAGGAAGGATGAGTGTTCCTGGGCAGGATCCTGGTGGCGGGGGCCCCCCCTGGGAATGGGCCCTAGGCCAGGGGAGAAATACAGTGCATACAGAGAGCGCACTGTGGCCCATATCAACCGCTTGAACAAGGAGGAGGAAAAGCTAAGTGGGTTGAGACTGGAGTTGAAAAACTCGGAACAGCGTGTCAGCGAGCAGGTCAAGATGGTTGCTGCACTAAAAGCGGCCAGTGGAATCCTGCGGGAAAGATATACTAATGAAGACAGGTTTAGATCTGCAAGGAGCAAGCTTGTGGCAGAGGCCCGTGGTCATGCTGAGGAGGGAGTCATCTCTGGAGGAGTTTTTCTGATTGCACAGCTGGTGAGGGAGCCTGCCGGGTGGAGGCTGATCCTGCTAGCTTCCCCATGCATGCTGAGGAAGTATTACCTGCAGTAAAGGTTGTGGGGTCCAGCTCCATCCCCCCCCAGCAGCAGCAGCCCCTGGACTGGGGGTCTCAAGTGGAGGGGTGGCTGAGAGAGCTGGAACTATGCATTTTATTAAAGAAATGGAGTCCCCTTTACATGTAAAGCAGTTTGCTTTTACATCTGAGGAATCGGAGGATGAGGATGACAGGTGTAAGAAGCCAGCTAAGCCCCAGAGAGAAAGAAAGAGCGGTGTTTGTCAGCTTGGAAAGGATCCCCAGCAAGTTGGTGGACGTCTGCAGCAGCAGGAGTGAAAGTGTTCAGAGGTGTTGGGAGTGAACACATCCAGCAGTGAAGTGGTGGCTGAATCCAGTGGTCTAAGTGTTGGAGATGCTAAGGAGAGCGGGGTGTCCCTGCCCAGGGATGTCAGCATGCAGTCTGGAGGTGTGAAGGAGAGCGGGGTGTCCCTGCCCAGGGATGTCAAAGCATGCAGTCTGGAGGTGTGAAGGAGAGCGGGGTGTCCCTGCCCAGCAGCGGGGGAGTGTGCCTGCAAGTCAGGGTCCTCCATGGCATGGAGGAAGACAAGGTGTTGCAGCCCAGAGGCGGGGGTGTGTCTGCAGCTCAGATTCCCTGTGGCTTAGAAGATCATGGGAGTGTCCCCGCCCACTGGCAGTACAATGCTGGCTCTGGGTCTCTGTGATGCAGCACGGGGAGGGACTGTCCCTGCCCAGTGGTGAGTCATGTCCTGGTCTTGTGATGGGATGAAGAGTGGAGTGGCCCCGCCCAGAGGTGGAACTGAATCTGTGCTCAGAGACCAGCGTGCCTGTAACGCTGGAGGACTGGCTACAGCCATGAGTCTGCAAGAGTTTGGTGGGGGGGGAAGGAGGAGATGATATGTGATGCACCAGGTGGGGAGAGTGTAAAGTCTGTGATCTCTAGTTCTGCTCTTACAGTTCCTCGGTCTGTCCTTGTTCCATGTGTGCTTCTCCCCATCCCTGCTGCCCGTAAGGCAGTCCCTGCTTCCTGTCATCCATGCTGGCTCTGGGCCACAGTCCCTGCTCCCTCTGCTCATTCCCATCCCTGCTGTTCAGGGGTCCATCCCCACTCCCTCTGCTCATCCCATCCCTGCTGTCCAGGGGTCCATCCCCTGTCTCCCTCTGCTCATCCCATCCCTGCTGTTTGTGGGTCCATATCTGCTCCCCCGGATCCATCCCAGCTGCGGGCTCTGTCTGTTATTCTGCAGCGGTCAGGGGAGGCCAGGGGGTGTGAGGGGTGTTAGAGTCCCGGGTTGGGGGTTCCCTTCTTCGGTGGCACGGCTGTAACGTGGTCCTGTTACGGTGGATGGGGTGAGGGCGCTCCCCCAAATAGGAGGGAGGTGATAGACAGAATTATAGAAATGGGTTCAGGGCTAGTGAGATCTTTGCCTTTATTGCTCCTTTGGGTGCAGGTGAATACGATGTATCTTTTGTGAGGGCTGATGGCCTGGATTTATTCTGGCAAAGGTATGATGATAGGTGGAAGGGGTCTCCCAGGTGGGCGGGTTTTAACCCCGAGGGTCATCTCTCGTTAGCCTTTGGTAAAAAATGTGACCATTCTGGGTGAGGAATGAGTCCATCCCAGCAGCGGACATTATGGTTTGGCTAGGCTGCTATGGAGATGTGTTGAGCCCATTAAGGAAGATACTAGATGACAGGGGAATTTGGACAGGCGGCTGGACGGCTATGATGAGGTTGAAGGTCACTGATAACGTGATCAAACACCTCCCCTCCTCCGCTTTCCTTGGGAAAGACAGACTTATAATTTTTTTATGCAGGCAACCGAAGTTATGTCATCGGTGTGGGAGCAAGCAGCATTTTGCGTCAGGATGTGCAGTCCTGAAGTGCTCATTGTGCCAGGGGATTTGGCATCTGGCTAAGGACTGCAACGAAATCAGGTGCATACTGGGCTTAGGCTAGGCCACTCATAATAGTCGTTGCCCTGAGCCACTCCATAACCAGCCGGAGGTAATAGACGAAACTGTTGAGGTTGGAAGCGGAAGAGCTTAAAGAGGCCTCCAAGGCTCGGGACGATGTGGTGGCCTGTAGCCGCTGCATCTGCGGAGGGATCATCTGTTGTTCCCTGATGTTGCTTCGCCTGTGTCTGCCTCTTCCCCCAAGGTTGGGTCTGTTTCTTCTGTGAGTGTGTCTTCCCCTGCCCAAGTGTTGTCTGTGTCTCCCTCTGTCCCTGTCCCTACGGTTAGGAGGAAAAAAATTGGTGAGGCGGCGGCTAAAGGTGCTGGGCTTGTTGGGCAAGGTGTGCCCCCGCTCCGGTTCTTCTTCCACAGCGGCGCCGCAATGTCCCGGGGGTGGCGGTGGAGGAGTCAGGAGGTGGGAGGGAGGCCTCAAACCCAGATGGGGGAACCCCGGTGGAGAAAGGGGGGTGAAGAAGTGGTCTGTAGTGGGAAAGGGTGGGAGAAATAGGACAGTACTTTCCCCCCGCCACATCCCTTTCATCTCTGGAGGTGGATGATCTACCTTTAGAAAATAGGTTTGGGACTCTGTCTGGGGATGGGGAGGAGTTAGGGGACTCCCCTGCCCCGATGGAGGAGGAGGCCTCTGGTGTGTGTCCCTGAAAAGGACCAGACCCTCAGCTAAGAAGGGGAAAAAGAAGGCTAAGAAAAACGCCTCTCAATATTACCTTTAATGGGCAGTTCCCGCTCCGATAAATGTGGCAACCATTAATGTTGCCAGCATAAAGTCTGTGAGTGCCAGAAGTGCGGCCTTATTTTTGCTCAGTGGTGTTTGTGCTGACATTTTGTTTTTGCAGGAGACCCGGCTTGAGTGCCTTGCCGATATCCACCTGGCATAAGAGGGAGTGGAGGTGTGGTCCCTCCTTCTGGTCTCTTGCGGCCCGAGCCTTACAGCGGAGTTGCAGTGCTTTTTACCGCCATGGTAACGTGTTGGTGGGTCATTGAAGTGGAGGTCGGAAGATGCATGGTCTTGGACGTCCTTGTGAAGGGGCAGGAGCTGAGGCTCATTAATGTTTATGGCCCGCAGTCAAAGTGGGACAGGAAATGCCTCTTTACAAGGATTAAGACCCTTTCCTTTTTACATCCCGGCAGGTTGTCTTTGGAGGTGATTTCAACACCGCTACTAGGCCCAAAGACAGGAAAGGCTCCAATGACAGGCTGGGATATGACAGCATTTTTCTAAATGCGATAGTCAGGGAAGCAGGTCTGGAGGATGCCTTAATTAAGTGCAGCCCCGGACAGCACGGGGTTCACATTTAGGCGAGGTAGAAGTGAGAGTAGAATAGACAGGTTTTTTTTTAAAGGGGGGACTCCGCTTTCTCGGCACCTGTGTGTCCTGTGTGTCAGGCGGTGGAATTCTCTGACCACCTTTTTGCTAACTGTGTCTTTGAATTTTGCAGATACTCCACTGAAGGGGAGGGGTGTCTGGAGATTGAATTCGTCCCTGCTGGACGATAAGGAGGTGAGACGATCCTTCGAGGACTTTTTTCAGGCTCAGGAGACCATCCTGAATTTCTGTGACAATAAGTCAGAATGGTGGGAGCTTACCAAGGTGCGGATTGGCAGGTTTTTCAAGGCCCTAGGTAAGAGGAAACAATTTGATAAATATGTTGCCTACCAACGGTTGAGGAGGAAACTTGATCGCCTTGTCTCTGAGGGTGGAGATTCTGGGGCAATCTCAGAGGTTAAACTTCTCCTCAGAAAATATTCAATATGATCGGCAATGCCTCCTTGGTTCTGGAGAGGGACTAATGGAAAATACCATTCACCCGACCCTTACCAGAATTGCAAGCAAGGTATAGCGGGTTAAGATGATCACTGGTCTGAGAGACAGTACGGGTTCCCTGACAAAATCCAGGGCAGGAATCCTGGAGGTCTCGAGGGCTTTTTTTAAGGATCTTTTTGGGGGAGAAGCACCTCGACCAGGCAAGGATGTTGAGTTTCTTGGAGTCTACGCCAGGGTCTAGAAAATAATGTTATGCCCGTGAATTTGACAGGTAAGATTACAGCTGCCTAGGTTGCCAAAGCCATAGATAGTCTGGCCATCAAGAAAGACGTCTGGGCCGGATGGTTTGACAGCTGAATTTTTTAAGATCTTCAAGTCACCCGTCTCGCGTGAGGTCTTTAATAGCTGTCTTGATGAGGGCTACACTCCCTCCCTCCATGAGTTTCGGCTGTAATCTTGCTGTCAAAGGGTAAGGACCCTTCGGCAATTGAGAATTGGCACCCCATCAGCCTTCTTAACGTCAATAGAAAGATTTTGGCCAAGATTCTTTTCTGGCGCTTGTCGTCAGTGGCAGACGAGTTGCTTTCACAACATCAGCACTGTTTCGGTCCAGGGCAGAAGTACGTTCTCAGCGGTGTTAGCTGTCCGGGAGGTTCTGGGAGCGTTGCAGGGGGAAGTATTTGCTGGCGCAGGATCAGGCTAAGGCCTTTGATATCGGGTGGACCACGAGTACCTCTGGCGTCT